AAGTACAAAATTCAAGTTTTACGTATTAACCTCACTCAGGTTTTCCCTTATTTGTTCAAAATTTACACTGAGAAAGAAATATACTCCGGTTATCGAACAGATGGAGTTGTAAACGTGCGTAAGTAAATGAAAATGGAAAAATTGAAAAATAAAAAAATTGTGAAATAAAATTAAAATGCGAAAATTCAAAAGTTGTAAAAATACAAAAATCCGAAAATTGGAAAGTGAAAAAGTAGAAAAATCAAAATCAAAATCGGTAAATCGGAAAATCGAGAAATCGTAAAATCGAAAAGTCGAAGTTTCGAATTCGTAAAAAAGAGAAATTCAAAAATGGATCCTCGAAAAATCCAAAAATCCACAAAACGAAAAGCCGAATGCGGAAAATCGAAAAATCTGAAAGTCGAAACATCAAGAAATTGAAAAGTCTAGAATGAGAAAAGTAGAAATTGAAATATTTTAATGTCGAAAAATCCCAAAATCAAAAAAGTCCAAAAATCCAAAAATTGAAATTTTGAACAATATAAAAACTCAAAAAATCGAAAATTTAAAAATCTAAAAATCGATAAAACAAAAAATTCAAAACCCAAAAATTCGAAATTTCGAAGTCGAAAAATTCAAACATTGTATCCAAAAATCGAAAACTCTAAAAATCAAGAAATGAGAAATATACTCCGGTTATCGAACAGATGGAGTTGTAAAAGTGCGTAAGAAAATGAAAATGGAAAAATTGAAAAACAAAAAAAATGTGAAATAAAATTAAAATGCGAAAATTCAAAAGTTGTAAAATACACTAATTACGTTGCAGTTTTAAATCGAAAAATTGAAATATGGAAAATTTCGAACATTTTAAAAATTCCAAAGTTTGAAGATCGAGAAACTGTAAAAGAGAAAAATTAAAAACTGAGAACTTAACAAATTGAAAAACTGAAGATTTAAAAGTTTCAAAAGTTTCAAAATCGAAAAATTAGACATCGAAAAGTCGAAGCATTGAAAAATCGAAAAGACAAAAAATCGGGAATTTCAAAAAGTTGAAAAATTCACAGAAATACTCATCGAAAAATCGGAAAGTCGAAAAATTGAAAACTCGAAAGAATTGATCTATCCAAAAATCGAAAAATCCAAAAATCGGAAAATCGAGAAATCATAATATCGAAAAATCGAGAAATCGAAAAGTCGAAAAATCTGAAAGAATCGAGGAAACTGAAAAATCTAGATTGAAAAAACTAGAAATTGAATATTTTAAAGTCGAAAAATCCAAAAATTGAAATTTCGAATAATCTAAAACTCAAGAAATCTAGAAAAGGTAAGCCGAAAATTCGGGAAATCCAAAAGTCAGAAAAGTAAAAAATCGAAAATTTGAAAAATTTAAAAATCGATAAATCAAACACTCAAAAATTCGAAATTTCGAAGTCGAAAAATTCCGAAATTGAATGAAAAATCGAAAACTAAAAATCAAGAAAAGGAGAGATCCAAAAATTGAAAAATTAAAAAATCACAAATCGAAAAGTCGAAAAATCAAAAATAGATAACTCCAAAAATCCAAAAAATCTCGAAGTCGAATTGAAATTATTCAGAAATGTGAAAGTCGAAACGTCAAGAAATTGAAAAGTTTAATTGAGAAATTTAGAAATAGATATCTTGAAAAGTTTAAAAATCCAAAAACCGCTTTTTCGAAAAATCCAAAACTCGAAAAATCGAAAAGTCTAGAAATCGAAAACTCGAAAGAAAAAGAGAAATCCAAAATTCGAAATATCGAAGAAGTGATCAATCCAATAATCGAAAAATCGTACAATCGAAATCGTAAAAAAGAGAAACTCAGAAGTGGATAATCTAAAGATCCAATTGGATTTGGTTCAAGATTTTCCAAAAATTCGATTTGAAAAATATTTTTTTATTTCGAAAATTGTTGTGTAATCGTTTCTGGAGATTTTTAAAAAGGTGCCTAAAAATTCTGGGGATTTTGTTCAAAACGGTTGACAGCCATGAAATTAAGCATTTAACGTTCAATTTCTTTAATTAAAACAAAAATACAGCGTTTTAACCTCACTCAGGTTTTCCCTTATTTGTTCAAAATTTACACGGAGAAAGAAATATACTCCGGTTATCGAACAGATGGAGTTGTAAAAGTGCGTAAGTAATTGAAAATGGAAAAATTGAAAACCAAAAAAATTGTGAAATAAAATCAAAATCCGAAAATTCAAAAATTGTAAAAGACAAAAATTACATTGCACAGTTTTAAATCGAAAAATTGTAAAATGGAAAATTTTTAACACTTTAAAAATTCCAAAGTTTGAAGATCGAGACACTGTAAAAGACAAAAATTAAAAACTGAGAACTTGACAAATCGAAAAACTGAAGATTTAAAAATTTCAAAAGTTTCAAAATCGAAAAATTAGACATCGAAAAGTCGAAACATTGAAAAATCAAAAAGGCAAAAAATCGGGAATTTTAAAACGTCGAAAAATTGAGAAAACAATTCATCGAAAAATCGGGAAATTGAAAAATGCGAAATCGAAAATTCAAATCGAAAAATGGCGATTTCTCCATTTTGAAAAATCCAAAAATCTGAAAGTCGAAACAACAAAAAATTGAAAAGTCTAGATTGGGAATTGTAGAAATTGAAATATTTTAAAGTCGCAAAATCCTAAAATAAGAAAAATCGAAAAATCCAAAAATTGAAATTTCGAACAATCTAAAAACTCAAAAAATCGAAAAAATCGATACATCAAAATCTCAAAAATTCGAAATTTCGAAGTCGAAAAATTCAAAAGTTGTATCAAAAATCGAAAACTAAAAATCAAGAAAAGGAGACATCCAAAAATCGAAAAATTAAAAAATCACAAATCGAAATGTCGAAAAATCCAAAAAGAGATAACTCCAAAAATCCAAAAACTTGAAGCCGAATTGAAATTATTCACAAATGTGAAAGTCGAAACATCAAGAAATTGAAAAGTTTAAATTGAGAAATTTAGAAATCCATTATATTGAAAAGTTCAAAAATCCAAAAATCGCAATTTCGAAAAATCCAAAACTCGAAAAATCGAAAAGTCTAGAGAAACTCGATAGAAAAAGAGAAAGCCAAATGTCGAAATATCGAAGAATTGATCAATCCAAAAATCGAAAAATCTTAGAATCGAAATCGTAAAAAAAATCGACAAATCGGAAAGTCGAAGTTGGAAAATCGAATAATCTGAAAGTCGAAACATCAAAGTCTAAATTGAAAAAAATAGTAATTGAATATTTTAAACGTCGAAAAATCCAAAAACCAAAAAAGTCGAAAAATCCCAAAATTGAAATTTCGAACAACCTAAAACTCAAAAAATCGAAAAAAGGTAAGTTGAAAATTCAAGAAGTAGAAAAGACAAAAAATCAAAAAGATCGAAAATTTGAAAAATCTAAAAATCGAAAACTCAAAAATTCGAAATTTCGTAGTCGAAAAATTCAAAAATTGTACCAAAAATCGAAAACTAAAAATCAAGAAAAGGAGAGATCCAAAAATCCAAAAATGGAGATTTCGAAAAAGCAAAAAAAATCACAAATCGAAAAATCGAGAAATCCAAAAACTGAAAGTCGAAGTGGGATTATCGAAAAATGTGAAAGTCGAAACATCAAGAATTTGAAAAGTCTAAATTGAGAAATATAGAAATCGAAATTTTGAAAAGTTTAAAAATCCAAAAATCGAAAGAAAAAGAGAAATCCAAAATTCGAAATATCGAAGAAGTGATCAATCCAAAAATCGAAAAATCGTACAATCGAAATCGTAAAAAAGAGAAACTCAAAAGTGGATAATCGAAAAATCCAATTGCTTTTAGCTCAAGATTTTCCAAAAATTCGATTTGAAATATATTTTTTTATTTCGAAAATTTTTGTGTTATCGTTTCCGGAAAAATTGTCAATTTCGAAAAAATGAAGCTAATAAATAAATTCCATGAGTCGAAATGTAGAAAAAAATATGTTTCGATAATTTTCGAATCACGAGGAAAAAACTGTCGAAAATTCGTATTGAAAAATTTTCGAAAAGATGCCTAAAAATCCTCAAAAAATTCTGGGCTAGCAATCTCGACGAGCGGTTTTAAAATGCATTGTTTTTCCAGAAAATTGTCATTTTCATTGATTTTGGAAAAATTGTTGTAATATTCGAAAAAATGATGTCGAAAGGACCAGAAATCTATGATATAAATCTCGACGTGTTAAAATCCGAAAATATTATATAGCTTCTCAGGGACACCAATGAATATTTTTTCTCGGTGTATGGGAATTAAAGTTACGTTACGTTTGACGGGTACTAAAATCGGCGTGGGGAAAACTCAACAATTTATTTCTTAATAACTCGAATTTATACGACTAACTATTACACCGATTACGTACAAAATAATTCCGACGCAACTTCAAAAAATATCAAGATTCAAATTTGTTTGTAGATAAAACCACACAGGGAGTGTCCGCTGCAGCGAAATTCCCCCGACAAAAAAAACCGTATCATAACTAAAAATTTCGCTATTTCTAACTTCTGGAAACAGCGTTCATCATTTTTTATTTCTATTGTTAAACTGTTTTAACCATAGAAATAATATTAGAAGATAGATTGTTGTATTAACTGAATTCGTAATGTATTGTAGATTCTACACACATTTCATTTTATTAAAAGAGGATTTCCATCGCTTAACACGATTTCTGTTATTTTAGATTATATATAATTATAATGTAAGCTGTGAAAATATAGTTTTCATTAATAAACGTTTGTTATAATAATTTGTTTGAACAAATTCGGAAGAAAACGTATTAATTCCCGTGCAAATGAAGCGTTTCTTGCCACTCAGCACGTGACACCCAGTCAGCCGTCCTTTCCCCACTGACGCATAACCGGTCTAGCTATTTCTCTCTTATGTTGATTACACTCGCCTGCGTATGGAAACGTATACAAGGCTCCATCCACTCCTCTATTATATCAATGGTTTTAACGCCTTCGTATAGGCAACCCAATAAACCCACCGATACATTCTACGTCACTTGTCAAAACATAACCTACAAAAATCCGTGAAAATTTAAAACATTTAACGATGAGTTTAACGGGGCGAAATAAGACCAGCATTCTCGATAAACCCCTAAGCCGGGGCAAGGGCGAAGTCTCTCTGAGTTGTTTCGCGCTTCTATTTTCCGAAGTGGTTCAGTATTGCCAGAACAGGTCCCATACCGTTCCGGAGCTCCAAAATAGGTGGTTTTCATCACCCAATTATAAGTTAACCTGACGAAATTTTGCAGATTGCACGAACTGGGTCGCAAAGTTGGAGTAAAAATAATCGATTTGTACTTCCTGAGGGAACGCAACGGGAAAAGGGAAATTAAATTACTGAACATATTGTTGTTTGTGAAGTCCACTTTATGGAAGGTGCGTAAGTGTGAGAATTGTGTGTTTGTGTGGTGGCTAATGTGATTGCAGGTGTTGTTTGGTAGAGAAGCGGATAAATTGGAACATTCCAATGACGATGAAAATACTTATTATTTGATGGAGAAGGAGCCTTTAGTGAATAGGTTTATTTCGGTACCGAGGGATAAAAGTAGCTTGAATTGTGCCGTGTTTGTTGCGGGGATTATTGAGGCTGTTTTGACAGGAACTGGATTCGTAAGTATAAACATTGTTTAAGTATATTATAGTTGGGCAACCTATACGGACAATCATTTTCCCATGTAGAAAAGAATGAATATATATTTTACATCTCACTCGCTTCACTATGAAGTGCCGGTACCTTACGAAAGGGGGTAAAAATAGTCTGAAAGCACGCGATGTCGATAAGGTAGTAAACGGACGTATTAATCAGTACGTTGTACGGGGAGCAGTCACAAAATAAGCAAACGTACGTGTTGAAGACTTTACCTATATGTAATATATGTATATGTAGTGCATACCTGTTTCAAGGTTAAGGTAACAAAAATTTAATATTATCGCGGTATACCTATTATCCATGAACTGCATCAAATCATTAAATACATATTATCTTTGAAACTAAAATGCATTTTATCACAAAATATTTATCACCATTTAAATATATACGATTTAGACATCAAGAAATAAATTTAAAATCGCAAAAATTAAATGTAGCAGAGTTAAAACAGCCTTAAATGTGTCTTGTATGTACGTGCTTATCAGTATGTAGGCATTTTAACGCACAGCAATAATCGTTCTTGAAAAGTAATGACTGATGACTACTGTAACATAATAATTCCTCGAAATCTAAAATTTAAAACATTGAAAAATTCAAATATGAGAAAATTGTAAAATCGAGAAATCGAAACATAAAAAAATCAAAAAAATAAAAATTGGAAAATCTAAAATTTAAAAATCGAGAAATTGAACAATCGAAAAATTAAAAAAAATTGGACAATCGAAAATTTAAAAATTCCGAAAATTGAAAAATTGAAATATAGAAAAACTGAAAACTCAAAAAATCGAAAAAAAATAATAAGTTAAAAATTGAAAAGTTAAAATTGAGAAATCGAAAAACCGAAAAATCAAAAAAGCAGAGTCGAAAAATCGAAAACTTAAAAAATCTAAAAATTGAAAAATCAAAAACCTGAATAATCGAAAAACTGAAAAATCGAAACTTTAGGAAGTGAATAAATGGGAATCTAACAAAATAGATTAATTGCGAAATCCGAAAACTAAAAATTCAGAAACGTAAAAATTTGAAAAATAAAAAAATATTGAAGAACTGAAAAATCGAAAAATCTAAAATTTAAAACATTGAAAAGTTAAAATATCTTAAAACTGAAAAATGGAGAAATCCAAACATTAAAAAATCAAAAAAATAAAAAATTCGAAAATCTAAAATTTAAAAATCGAAAAACTGAAAAATCAAACAATCGAGAAGTCGAGACTTTAAAAAATTAGAAAATTGAAAAATCGGATAAATCAAAAATCGAAATATCGAAAAATCGAGAAACCGAAAAGCAAAAAACAAAAAAATCGAGGAGTCGAAAAATAAAAAAATTGAGAAACCGAAATAGGCCAAAATCGAAAACTCGAAAACTTAAATATAGAAAAATTGATAAAGCGAGAGATTGAATAATCAAAACATCGAAAAATCCGAATCTCAATAAATTGAGATCTCAAAATATTAAAAAGTTTGGAAATTTGAAGAATTAATTTATAGAACTGGAAACTCGAGAAACCGAAAAAAATTAATAATTTAAAAATTGAAAAGTTAAAATTGAGAAATCGAAAAACCGAAAAATCACAAAATTGAACGAAATATCAAAAAATTAGGAAATTAAAAAATTGAAAAACAGAAAAGTCAAAAAAGCAGAGTCGAAAAATCGCAAACTTAAAAAATCTAAAAATTGAAAAATCAAAAACCTGAATAATCGAAAAATTGAAGAACTGAAAAACTGAAAAATCGAAACTTTAGGAAGTGGATAAATGGGAATCTAAAAAAATAGATCAATTGAGAAATCCGAAAACTAAAAATTCAGAAACGTCAAAGTTTGAAAAATAAAAAAAATATTGAAGAACTGAAAAATCGAAAAATCTAAAATTTAAAACATTGAAAAGTTAAAATATCTTAAAACTGAAAAATGGGGAAATCCAAACATTAAAAAATCAAAAAAACAAAAAATTCGAAAATCTAAAATTTAAAAATCGAAAAACTGAAAAATCAAACAATCGAGAAGTCGAGACTTTAAAAAATTAGAAAATTGAAAAATCGGATAAATCAAAAATCGAAATATCGAAAAATCGAAACATTGTAAAATGCAAAAATTGAGACATCGAGAAATCGAAAAATCAAAAGACAAAAAAATCAAGGAGTCGAAAAATCAAAAAATTGAGAAACCGAAATAGGCCAAAATCGAAAAATCGAAAACTTAAATATAGAAAAATTGATAAAGCCAGAGATTGAATAATCAAAACATCGAAAAATCCGAATCTCAATAAATTGAGATCTCAAAATATTAAAAAATTTGGAAATTTGAAGAATTAAATTATAGAACTGGAAACTCGAGAAACCGAAAAAAATTAATAATTTAAAAATTGAAAAGTTAAAATTGAGAAATCGAAAAACCGAAAAATCACAAAATTGAACGAAATATCAAAAAATTAGGAAATTAAAAAATTGAGAAACAGAAAAGTCAAAAAAGCAGAGTCGAAAAATCGAAAACTTAAAAAATGTAAAAATTGAAAAATCAAAAACCTGAATAATCGAAAAATTGAAGAACTGAAAAACTGAAAAATCGAAACTTTAGGAAGTGGATAAGTGGGAATCTAACAAAATAGATTAATTGAGAAATCCGAAAACTAAAAATTCAGAATCGTCAAAATTTGAAAAATAAAAAAATATTGAAGAACTGAAAAATCGAAGAATCTAAAATTTAAAACATTGAAAAGTTAAAATATCTTAAAACTGAAAATTGGAGAAATCCAAACATTAAAAAATCAAAAAAATAAAAATTCGAAAATCCAAAATTTAAAAATAAAAATTAGAAAATTGAAAAATCGGATAAATCAAAAATCAAAACATCGAAAAATCGAGAAACCGAAAAGCAAAAAATCAAAAAACCAACAAATCGAAAACTCGAAACATTGTAAAATGCAAAAATTGAGACATCGATAAATCGAAAAATCAAAAGACAAAAAAATCGAGGAGTCGAAAAATCAAAAAATTGAGAAACCGAAATAGGCCAAAATCGAAAACTCGAAAACTTAAATATAGAAAAATTGATAAAGCGAGAGATTGAATAATCAAAACATCGAAAAATCCGAATCTCAATAAATTGAGATCTCAAAATATTAAAAAGTTCGGAAATTTGAAGAATTAAATTATAGAACTGGAAACTCGAGAAACCGAAAAAAATTAATAATTTAAAAATTGAAAAGTTAAAATTGAGAAATCGAAAAACCGAAAAATCACAAAATTGAACGAAATATCAAAAAATCAGGAAATTAAAAAATTGAGAAACAGAAAAGTCAAAAAAGCAGAGTCGAAAAATCGAAAACTTAAAAAATCTAAAAATTGAAAAATCAAAAACCTGAATAATCCAAAAATTGAAGAACTGAAAAACTGAAAAATCGAAACTTTAGGAACTGGATAAATGGGAATCTAAAAAAATAGATTAATTGGGAAATCCGAAAACTAAAAATTCAGAAACGTCAAAATTTGAAAAATAAAAAAATATTGAAGAACTGAAAAATCGAAAAATCTAAAATTTAAAACATTGAAAAGTTAAAATATCCTAAAACTGAAAAATGGAGAAATCCAAACATCAAAAAAAAAAAAAAATTCTAAATTTTAAAAATTGAAAAACTGAAAAATCAACGAATCGAGAAGTCGAGAATTAAAAAAATTGGAAAATTGAAAAATCGGATAAATCAAAAATCGAAACATCGAAAAATCGAGAAACCGAAAAGTAAAAAATCGAAAAACCAACAAATCGAAAAATCGAAACATTGTAAAATTCAAAAAATGAAATATCGAGAAATCTAAAAATCAAAAGACAAAAAATCGAGGAGTCGAAAAATCGAGAAGTCGAAAAATCAAAAAATTGAGAAACCGAAATAGGCCAAAATCTCGAAAAATCGAGAACTTAAATATGGAAAAATTGATAAAGCGAGAGATTGAATAATCAAAACATCGAAACATCCGAATCTCAATGAATTGAGATCTCAAAAAATTTAAACATTCGGAAATTTAAAAAATTAAAATATAGAACTGGAAACTCGAGAAACCGAAAAATCTAGAAATTTAAAAATTAAAATATGGAAAAGTTGAAAAATTGAGAAATTGAAATAAAAAACAAAAAACTGAAAATCCAAAAATAAAAAATAGAAAAATCTAGAAGTCGAAAATTGAGAAATCGACAAACCAATAAAGCGAAGTCGAAAAATCGAAGAATTGAAGAACTGAAAAATCGAAACTTTGAGAAGTGGGAAAATAAAAAATAGATTAATTGAGAAATCAGAAAACTGAAAATTTAACGCAAAAATTTGAAAAATTGAAAAATTTAGATACTGAAGAACTGAAAAGTCAAAAAATCGAGAAATCGAAAAACTAAAATTTAAAACACCGAATAATTAAAACATCGCAAAATTGAAGAATCGAGAAATCCAATTCAATTTGAAAAATTGAAAAATCGGGACATTGAAAAATTGGAAAATCCAGAAATTGAAAAGCTCAAAAGAAAAAAAATCGAAAAACCGAGAAATCCAAAAATCGAAACGTCGAAAAATTCAAAAACTGAGACTTCGAGAAATCGAAAAATCGGAGGATCGAGAAACTGAGGAGTTGGAAGCCGAAAAGGAAAGTTAAAAATTGAAAAATTGAGAAATTGAACAATCTAAACAACGAAACATCTGAATTCGATAAATTGAGAAATTAAAAGAATGAATCGAAAAATTTTAAAAAAGAAACTGGAAAATCGAAAAATTGAAAAATTGAAATATAGAACTGAAAACTCGAGATATCGAAAAACCTAGAATTTTAAAAAATGAAATATTAAAACATCGAAAAGTTTAAAAATTGAGAAATCAAAGCACTAAACAGTCGCAGAATTGAAAAATCTAAAGTTTACAATAAATTGAAAATCCAAAAAGTAAAAAATCGAGAAATAAAAAAAAATCCATCAATTCAAAAATCGAAAAGTCGAAAAATTGAAATATTGAAAAATCTCATAACTGAAAGAAATATTCAAAAAATTGAGAAATTAAAAAATTGGAAAATTGAGAAATCGAAAATCTAAAAAAGCAAAATTGAAAAATCGTAATCTTAAAAAATCGAAAAATTGAAGAATTGAAGATGTGAAAAAACGAAACTTTAGGAAGTCCAGAAATGGACAAATAAAAAAAAATACTTTAGAAATCGGCAAACTGAAAATTTAGAAACGTGAAAATTTGAAAAATTGAAAAATCGAAATATTTAAAAACCGTAAAATTGAAGAGGACAAAAATTGAGAAATCGTATCATTGAAACATCGAAAGATTGAGAAATCGAAAAATAAAAAAATCAAGAAATAGAAAATTTGAAGAATGGAGGAATCGGAAAAGCCCAAAATTGAAATATTGAAAAATTGAGACATTTAAAGTTGAAAAATCGAGAAATCGACAAGCCGAAAAATCCCAATAGCGTATTTAGGTATAAATCACAAGATCTGACTATTCTACTTTTTAAAATTTAAATAACATTATAAATTGGAAAATGTTGATTTTTTTTCAAAAAATCTTGACGTCAAAGGTGAAAACTCGACACGGATGCATAAACCGTAAACGGGGCGAATTTACAATTTTACTATTGTAAAATTTGGAGATTGCGTCATTTCATTGTTCGTGACAAATTTTGGTGAGTGTAATTTGATAATACAATTTGAAATGTAAATTTTGTCATTCGGGAACATTATGTATTAAATCGTTAAGATGTTCAAGAACTTTGTTCACTTATTCGTTGTAAAGTCCAATGGTCGAAATGGGTTAGTTCTTCGTAGTGGATGTGTATCAGATCAACTCTAACGAATGTCGCCTTATAGATAAACCGCTTAGAGTCGATATTGGCCTGAGTGTGCTTTGGTCTGTAGATCAAACAAGTTCTCAGGCGACGAAAAATTGCATGTGGAGGGAGACTTCGGATTACAAATCGTGCCAAGAAAGACATATTTGGGAGAGATGGATTTTCAGGTGCTTGACTAGCGGTAATTTTAAATTGTTTGCTGTCGTTCGCGAAGTGAAGAACACAATTTCATTAAAATGATAATTATAAAATTATCATAATCATAATAATGCCTTTGCTAATGTTTGATGGCGCCATCTGATGTAGAGTAAAATAAACCTAATACGTTGGCTCACTGTAGTGAAAATGCGCGTTGACGAAAAATTTGTCCTACGCCCCCTGGATTCCTTGTCCTAAAGCTCATTATTTAGGCGAAGTAGAATTTGTATTAGGTTGTCCAACTATAATACACTTAAACAATGGTATAAAAAATAGTAATGTAGGCAACCAATAATTCGGTGACGTACATGGTTGTGTATGCAACCAACTTTACACCAACGTGTACGAATACATTATAACTATGATTCATTTATCATTATCTATACGTGTGAAGATTGCGTTGTTACACTCACACTAAATAAATAAATAACAATCAAAATTATCTCTCGACCTGTCATTACACATCAAATTCTGGCGAAAGCTTCAAAACTGATTTTAAAATTTAGAGATGACACTAAGTAAATTTTTATAGTGTGTTTATTAAATTTAAAACACATTGATTGATGATGGTTTTTGCAATAAGTTGCTCAGTGTGGAAATAAATGTTAGCTCACACTATTCTGATTTGTGGCTTTTGTGTGATTTGACGTTCAAACGATTAATGATTAGTACATTTTAGATTGCTCAATCAGTACCCAGGAACAAAATCTGCGTTATCACATTGTGTTTATTGTAATTATTTACATCACATGGATGATAACTGTCGTGTTACTTGTTCCCTCTGGGAAAATACAACTATCTATATCATGTAATAATAATTATTGTGATTATAATTACTTTTTCGTATTCAGTTGTCATGTAATAAAAACACCTGCTTTCTCCACCTGGCGTATAATGAACGCTATTGCAACACTCTTTTATTTTCAGACAGCCAAAGTGACGGCGCATTGGCACAAAGGTACGACTTACATGGTGAAATTCGACGATACCGTCGTCACCAGAGACAAACAACTAGAAGAGCGATAATTCCTGTACTATGTTTAATAATTGTCTACGTGTTTCCGTTGATAAAATTTAAATTAAAGCGCTTATTACAGATCTCTTTTCGCCCGTTTTATTTTTACCTTATCATCCACTTACTTGAAAAAAATCAAACACTTGTAGTTGTTTATAAAAACAACCACTACGTCGAGATAAAAGAACGTCCGGTACTTACCAAACTTGACCTCTGGCGTTTAACAGTATTCAATGGTTTTATTTTTTATTTCTAACAAAGTTTACAAACAAATGTCACTACATTGTTCTGGGTTTGCATATTTTAAATGTACTTGAAGTCGCGGTCTTTGTAGGCGATTTCGCCGTTCCTTAAACGCTTCTCCTTGGCGCTTTTCGTTACGTGTAGGAAGTAGGCGTAGCCGATGATGGGCATGGCCATCAGGATGATTCCGTAGCCGGTGTTCCTGGGGTTGGGTCTGAAGTGCTCAAAGCTGCTAACCCGCATGGCTTGATAGCGCTGGATGGCCGGGTCAAACTAGAACAAAATTCGAATTTAGCGCCATTTGGTTGGTAAAAAGGTTTGGGATTGGAGTAGGCCACAACACGCATGGTTGGTACAAGTGTCTTTATTTAGCAGTTACGAAAGTATTGAGATGTTTGTAACGAAAGGGGGTCATCCATTAATTTTATCACAACGTGTATACATACAAAGTATTAATTATTAGAACTGAAATTGAGCAACCACCCACAAGACCAGAAGTTAAAAATCGTGTTCCACTGACATTTCAACCCAACGGAATTATCAATTTTGCTATCATCGAACAAAAATAAGCAAATTCTCGAATGTGTGACAAATTAAGTTACGACACTTCGATTATAAATGCAGTTGGATGATTTTCACGATCTTTATCGACCGATTCTTGCTAATAGCGTCATTTGAAAGGTTAATTGTGAAAACAAAAAACAACAACCAAGGTCCTGTTGGCCGCAATTGTGCTCTGTATCAATACAATTTGACATTCTGACTGTGGTGAGTCACCGGCAAATACGTTGAAGAGGACTTCAATTTTCCGAAAATGTCAACTCCAACCGCCAAAATTTACTTCATCATGTTATGTAATTTAAGTGGAACGATTTGAGGTAGAAATCCAGCGAAGTTCAAGGCGATGATGGGGTAATGGTTTGGTAAGAAAAAACAGATAATGTCAATGGCAGCTTTTTATGGTTGCTGATGGGTTACAAAATAAAAGAAGTCTGTATTCATCGGCGTAATTTATTTGTTTTTTGTTGCTGGAATTAAATTATTGTTGGTTAAAAGTGGCAATAATTGCTGCAGTGGAAGGATTTATGATTGAAGAGAAAGTGAGAAGAATGTTAAGAATGTGTGGGATTAATATCAATGCGCGATTTCCATTTTCCGAGTAAAAAAGTTGGCTTTTTCAGCCTAGTCATTTTCAGTAATCAATTCAATTCTCGTGGATGTTGAAGCAATTATTTCGATTATTTCGATAAAAATTTTATGTTGTAAGAAGTGATTACGAGGAAGATTTACTAGTACATACTCACACTTTAAATGTCAGTCCCATCAAAAGTCGAACATTTATGGGTTACATTAGTACATTAATAATAATTATGACATCTTCACTATTATCCCAGATTTATATCGAAGTATCTCCCCTCAACTTAAATTTAAATCAGTCGATAACGAAAAGAAACCAAAATTATCTCAGTTTTTTGATCGATTAGATGGATATCACTACCATTAATGAAAACAACGTTACAACGTTTTTATGGAAAAAATCTAAAATTAGTTCGAAAAAAATTCGTCAGAATTTTTGTTTTACATGAAAATTAAACTACATAAGAATACAAGAAAAATAAAAAATCTAAGAAAATATACACTTCAGAAATCAAAATTAATATACAACGCACTCTCCGTAAATTACTGAAAGTAAAAATGGCGCAGGTGATTTAGGTTTTAATTTATTATAATCTACAACGGTTTTGCATTTTTTTTCGTTTTTGAAATTTTTAATTCTTTGGTTTTTCAATTGTTTAAGTTTGTAAGTTTTCAAATTGAAATTTTTCGAATTTTGAAGTTTGGGATTTTTTTTATTTTTCGTTTTTTCAATTTTTGTTTCTTGAATTTTTCAAGTTTCCAAATTTAATTTTTCAACTTTTTACTTCTTGAGTTTTTCATTTGTTTAATTTTACTATTTTTCAGTTCCTCCATTTTTAATTTTCCACATTTCAAATTTTCTCAATGTTTGATTCTTGAACTTAAGTTTTCAAATTTTGATTAATTTTTGAATTTTTCGTTTCTTTAACCAAGTATGCGATTTTGCAGTTTCCGATTTTTCAATTTTCAAATTTCTCAATTTCGCGGTTTTCGGAAATCGTAGTTTTTTGTTTTTCAATTTTTGGAGTTAATTTTTCCGTTTTTCCGCTTATCAGTTTCTCAGTTTTAATTTTTCGTTTCATCAAATTTTCAACTTATCAAATTAAAATTTCTAAATTTTTCGATTTCTTAATTTTTAATTTTTCGATTTTTCAATTTTACGATTTTGGGGTTTTTGATACTCCATCTTTTGAATTGTTCAATTATTCCTTTAACAATGTTCCGAATTTCCAAATTTTTATTTTTTTTTTAAGTTTTCAAATTGATTGTTTTCAATTTTTCTAGTATTGGATTCTTTAGTTTTTTAATTTTTCTTAGTTCAAATCTTCGAGTTTTCAAATTTAAATTTTTCAAGTTTTCAATGTTTGAATTTTTCGATTTTTAATCCTCAGATTTTTCAATTTTTGCTTCTTGAATTTTTTAAGTTTTCAAATTAAAATTTTTCAATTTTTTACTTCTTGATTTTTTCGTTTAATCAATGTTACAATTTTTCAGTTTTTTGATGTTTTAATTATTCGTTTTCTCAATTTTTGAGTTTCCACTTTTTTAAATTTTCGATTTTTGAGTTTTTATTTTTCAAATTTTTACAATTTTTAGAAATTTTAATTTTTCGATTTTCAAGTTTGTAAGTTATCAAATTAAAATTTTTTGATATTCCAACTTTTGATTGTATCTTTCGATTTTTTAATTTTTCGTTTCTTTAATTTTACTACTTTTCAATTATTCCTTTAACAATGTTTCGAATTTCCAAATTTTATTTTTTTTTTAAGTTTTCAAATTGATTGTGTTCAATTTTTGCTTCTTAAATTTTTTACTTTGAATTTTTCGTCTGTTTAATTTTACTATTTAAATAAAAAATATTTTTCAGTTTTTGGATGTTTTAATTACATATTTGTTTTTTCAATTTTTCGGTTTCTCAATGTTTGAGTTTTCACTTTTCAAAATTTTCGATTTTTGAGGTTTTTTCATTTTTCGTTCCTCCAACTTTTCGTTTTTTCATATTACGATCTTTCCCTTTTTTTAATTCTTCGATTTTCCAATTTTTGCTTTTTGAACTTTTTACGTTATCAAATTTTAATTTTTCAATTTACAAATTTCTCAATTTCGCGGTTTTTAGAAATTGTAGTCTTTCGTTTTTTCAATATTTTGATTTTCCAGTTTCTTTGGTTTTTAATTTTTCGTTGGTTTTAAAATTAAAATTTTTCAATGTTTGAATTTTTCGTGTTTTAATCTTACGATTTTTGATTTTTGCTTTTCGAATTTTTCGTTTGTTCAATTTTACTATTTTTCAGTTTTTGGATGTTTTCATTACTCGTTTTTTCCATTTTTCGGTTTTTCAATTTTTGAGCTTATTTTTCATTTTTGTTCCTCCAAAATTTAGGTTTTTTAATATTACGATTTTTTAGTTTTTGCATCTTCAAATTTTTGAGTTTTCAATTTTCGAACTTTTAAAGTTTTCAAGTTTTAATTTTTCAATTTCTGAGTTTTCAAAATTTTCAATTTCTCGGTTTTAAGAAATTGTAGCTTTTCGTTTTTTAATTTTTTGAGTTTTCAAATTTTGAAATTTGAAGGCTCCGGTTTTTGAATTTTTCATTAATTTTACGATTTTGAACATTTAGATTTAATCGATTTCAAATTTTTATGATTTTAAAATTTTTAGAAATCGTACTTTTTCGTTTATTCAAGTTTGTAATTATCAAATTAAAAATGTTCAATTTTTCAATTGTATAATTTTTGGACACTTTAATTTTTCTTTCTTCAATTTTTCGGTTTCTCAATTTTTAATTTTTCGTTTTTCAATTTTGTCATTTTTTCGTTTCTTTCATTTTACTACCTTTAAATTCCTGATGTTTCAATTATTAGTTTTTACAATTTTTCGATTTTCCATATTTTTTTTAATGTTTTCAAATTGATTGTTTTTTTTTTGAAGTTTTGGGTTTTTTCATTTTTCTTTTTCAATTTTTCAGTTTCTCAATTTTTAATCTTTAGGTTTTTAATTTTTCGTTACTTCAAGTTTTCAAGTTTTCAAATTAAAATTTGTCAAATTTTCAATATTTGAATTTTTCGTTTTTTAATCTTCAATTTATCAAGTTTGCAGCTTTCAAATTTTTCATTTTTTTTTTCTTGAATTTTTCGTTTGCCCAATTTTACTATTTATCTCTTGGATGTTTTAATTATTCGTCTTTTCAATTTTCCGGTTTCTCAATTTTTAAGTTTTCACTTTATCAAATTTTCGATTTTTGAGTTTATCTTTCATATTTTGTTCCTTCAACTTTTCGTTTTTAATATTACGATTTTTTAATTTTTGCTTCTTCAAATTAAATTTTTTAATTTCGAACTCTGTTTTTAATCCTACGATTTTTGAATTTTTCCTTCTTTAACAATGCGACATTACAATTTTAGATTTTTCAAATTTCTCAATTTCTCGGTTTTTAGAAATTGCAGCTTTTCGTTTTTTATTTTTCGAGTTTTAAAATTTTGAATTTTTGAAGGTTCCACTTTTTGAAATTTTCTTTAATTTTACGATTTTGAACTTTTTCGATATTCCAACTTTTGAATTGTTCAATCTTTCGATTTTTCAATTTTCAGATTTCTCAATTTTTCGGTTTTTAGAAATTTTAATTTCTTGTTTATTCAAGTTTCATATTTTTCAGTTTCACAATTTTTCGATTTTTCAATGGTTCAATTTTTCAATTTCTGAATTT